GTTTCGCAGTGGTGGCAAGTGAATTGAAGTGAGGTGAAAGAGTGTGTGTGGGAAAACGATTGAACAGAATTTTGTGAAAGTGGAAAAAGGCGGCAAAATGGTTAATCAAGAGAAGCAGCAGATCATCTCTTCATACAACAGACGCCCCTCTTCTCCACCAGAACATTATCAGTGTTTAGTGTGTGTGTGAAACATTAACAATCATCATCGATTCGTGGTCGTGGTCAGGGGACTGTCATCATCATCAGCAGCAGTCTGATTCAATGAGATAGTCAAACGGTGTAAAGAAACAAAGAAAAGAAGATGTACAAATCTAATAAAAGCTGTGGAGAAGATAGAGAGCTTACGCCACAGCACTCACTACAACTACAAGGTATTACATTAATTGAATTGGTTAAAATCTATAAATTAGGCTTTAATCACCTGCTATACAGTTCGGGTGCATGTGTAGGTGGTGCAATTTGTGGTGAACTGGCAATGGGAGAATAAGTGAGAGAATCGTCCCCATTGATAGAATCAGCAGTCTCCTCCCAGCAGCAGTGGGAGAACGGAAATAATAAGATACACAGTGTGTTGGCAATTGGTGTGTGGGTGGTTGGGTGTGGGTGTGTTGGGAAAATGGTGCACTTACGAGCAAGTGTAAACAGCTAGCAGGTAGGGAAAGTGTGTGGGTGTGTGTGATAAAAGTGTTTAAATAATTAGCTAAGGGAAAGGGGAAAAAGAGAGGATAAAAGTGAAGAGAGGAGAGATAAATATTTGAACAACGAGGTGAAGAGAGCAGAGAGAGAGGGAGCAGAGGTTATTAATCAACAGATTCGTGAACATTGTGAGGGTCTTTAAAATCCTAATCCTTGTTGGCCACTGAACACTCCACAGCAGCAGCAGCGGAGGCTGTTGGGACGGCAGCGGAAATTGGCTGCACAGCAGCAGCAGTGTTTGCTGAACTGCTTCCGCCGATTCCGTTGGTGAGTTGCTGTTGTTGCTCAGCGGCACCAACAGAAGTGGTCGTCAGCACGACGGCGGACTTTCCACCGCTCGGTGACGGCGTTGAGCTGTTTCGGTTGCTGATGCTGTTGTTGTTATTGTTGTTGTTGCTGTTACTGTTGTGGTTGCCGCCACTGCCGTAGAAGCTTCGACCACCGCCCGACTTTCTGCGGTCGTCAAAGGACTTGCCGCCGTTTCGGTTCGAGTACTGGCCGCCGCCATTCTTGTTGCCGTTGTTTGGCCGCTGAATGGGCGCCGGGTAGCCACCACTGCCGCCTCCAATCGAGCCCGAAGGGCTGGCTCGGTGGTGATTGACCACGCCACCGCCACCTCCGGCCATGGCCAGCTGAATTCCGGCGTTACCGAGATTACCGGCACCGGGCACTGTCGGTGCACCGCCGCCGAACATTTGCATAAACTGGCGTTGCTGATGTTGGTTGGCAAATCTACACATGTGTGATCAATGGTGGGGTGTCAGTCAAATGGGTGAACCGAGGTACTGGGTGTTGAATGGTGAGCAGCAGCAAACCAATAAACAAATAAGAGAAGAGAACAGGAAACACTCACCCATGGCCCATCGTCTTGAAGAAGTGCTGCTGAAGTTGTTGCTGCTGTTGTTGTTGCTGTTGCTGCTGCTGCTGACTGTGGTTTGGCCAACTTTGGTTCATCGCGTTCTGGGCAGAGGTGGTCAGAGGACCGTACTGACCGCCAGCTCGGGCGGCTGCAGCAGCCGCTGCTGCGGCCACCGCCGCCTGCTGCTGTTGCTGCTGGTGAAAGTGGGCGGCCACCACTGCAGCCTGCTGTTGTTGTCTGGCGGCGACCATATCGTGCGGGTGAACAACGCCCCCAACGCCTCCTTGAAGAGCGGCGGCTGCGGCGGCGTTCAGCGCGTACGCCTGCTGTGCCTGATGGACGTTCTGCATGGCCTCTGCATTGTGCAGCAGACTGGCCTGGAAGAAGGAGCGCAGTGCATTCTGTTGCTGCTGCTGGGCGGCGTCAAGTGCCTGCTGGCCACCACCCCCACCACCGCCAGCGTTTCTGCCAGCCACTGCAACGCCACTCAGCGCAGGAATGGCATTGGCAGCGCTGAGTGGCACACTGCCGCGGGTGTTGCTGTTCACCGGAAAGGGCGCCACCTGAGGATTCTGGCCCCCCACTCCGCCGACGACGGCAGAAGAGGCGGCAGTTCCAGTGAATGCAGAGTTGAAGTTGGATGGCTGCTGTTGTTGCTGTTGGGCAGCCACCGCCGAGGCCCAGTTGGCCGTGCCCTGTGCCTGCGCCTGCAGCGGACTCACCGACTGGTGGCCACCGTTTCCGGCGCCCCCAAAGTGGCTCTGCACCTGCTGAGCTTGAGCCTGCTGTTGCTGCTTGAGAATGTTGTTGGCCAGGACGGCTGCGGCATTGGTCTGCGCCAGCGTGTAGTGCTGTTGCTGTTGCTGCTGCTTGTTCATCGCCTCCAGCGAGTGGGCGGCGACTTGAGATTGCTGAACTTGCTGCTGCTGCTGCTGTTGCTGATGGTGGGCGATCTGCGCTAGCTGGTACAGGTGGTGGTGGTTGGTGGCATTGGCGTGGTGGTGCGCATTGCCCATCATCGCCAGCGCCGGGTGCTGGGCGGCATTGAAGGCGGCGGCCACCGCCTGCGGCTGGCCGGCAGCTCCAGCTGCCGCTGCTCCTGCAGTCACCGGCATATAGTGCATCGGGTGAAGTGTAGGCGTCGTGGCGGCAGCCGCTGCAAACGGGTTCATCTGCTCGAGATGGGCGGCCTGTGGCCCTCCAAAAGGCGCAAAGGGAGATGGCTGTCCGGCGGCAGAGTAGAGCTGCGGGGGCA